ACTTCGATTGGCTCCTAGCGCTGGCAAACACCAGTAGAACCACCACCAGGAGTGGCTTGTGGAATCAGAGCATTTGGTAGGGGGAACTGGGGCTGACTGGTCCATAGAGGGGGACTTGCCCATCTCAGGGTGGCAGGAAGGGCCAGGGGGCTAAAAATAATCCAGTGGCAGAGGACATAGGAAAAGCGCAAGCCTGGGGTTAAGGCCAGCTGTGCTCAGAACATGTACAGATGTTCAGTGAAATCGATCTAACTTAGTGCACTTCAGAGCTACAGTTAAATTAGATCAAGTCAGCCATTTTTTGAGTGATCTAGCATTCCTAGAACTTCTGTACAGTTTGTACTTAGATCGAATCGACGTAACAAGGGATCCAAGTGTAAGGTCCAGATGTGGGGGAACTAACTTAGGTCAGGAGGCCATTTTTAATGGAACCTAAGCTCTTCCTAACCTCCCCAAATGTCTCTTCCCACCTATTGACACCAGTGGGATCATTAGTGCCAGTCAGGATGTTGTATGTGATGGCAGAATTCCATGCATAATGAGCAAAATGTAAAAGTATGATTTAATAAATCATGTGAAGGCCATTGATTTTAAAAATATTTACATTTAATCCTGGTTATAAGGCGTACAGCATACTTTCAGCATCTTAAAGTAATAAATAACATCTGCTTATATCCAAGTTAACAAAAATCTCACAGTAACTTTACTGGAAAAAATCAGAATGCTTAAAATACTGCAAAATAACTGAAGCTACTTGCAGAGTGACTGACTTCAAGTCAATGAAGAGCTAAAATAAAAGGATAAATGCATCTAAAATCTGAAATGTGCATTCCGGTTGTTAACCAAATCATCAGGCACAATAATACGAACTATAAGGATGACAACAGCAACGAGCATTTCTCACAAGCGTCATGACTTACTGCATGGCTGAGTCCAGTTCTTAAAATACATTCTTTTTACATATGCACTCATTAAGCAAAGGACCATAATTTGTCCTTTGACGTATGCTGTCAGTTCCCATCAAAAATGGGAGTTGTGTGTATGCAGTGAGTGTGGGTTTTGGTCCATAATGCCTGGGCAAATGACTTGGCAATATATGTTTGCAAAATTGGCCCTTTGCACCTACCGCACTACTTATTCCTAAGTAAAGCTTGAGTTGAAATCCAATATTTTTTGCTTTTTCCAGAATGCATGATCCCTCACTGTGGCATCACATTTAAGGATCACAGCTCCTGTATCCGCTTGATGCCTTAACTGGGGTATTTCTGTGATATAGCTCAGAAGCTAAAATTAAAGTATCAGAATCTTTGTGCAACATCAAACATAGCAAAAGCTGAAGAGGCTCTACATTATATTCAATGGAAGGAGAGTTTATTCTTCCCCATAGTGAAATTTCAAATAAAGATACCAAACATTTTATGAAATTTGTTAGAAATGTGTTTGCCCCATTGTTTTTGTTTTTTAAAAAAAATCTCCTATGATGATTTAGGCCTCAATCCTGCAAACATTTAATGTGTGTAAGCAACTTTGTATGTGTGAATATCCCTAACAAGTCTTTTATAAGAAAAAATAGAACGAAATTGTTCCTATTTGTAGGATTGGGATCTTATCATTCATAGAGAAAATAATGTTATTAAAAACATATTTTCACATTCAGTATTGTGGAACTTTGGCAGATAAGTACACTATCAACATTACCTGGGATGACAATGGCCATTGAAAGAATTTACTTGGCACGGTGGTGTAAAAACGTAAGAGGTACTGGGATCTTTTTGAGTAAACCTTATGAAACGATCCCTCACCCACCTTCTAAAATATCCATTACTGCATTCGCATGTAGCTAGAGAAAACAAGCTATCAATGTTGTAGCATTTCTGTTTAACAGAAATGTGAAAATATGATCTCTTAACAGAAATCCACTAAAAAGCAGACTTTTTTTAAAAAAGCTCCTGGAATGCCCCAGTTCGGATAGACGAGTGCTCTTGCAATGCTAAAAACACCACATTTGTGAATTACAGTTTGCAAAATTTCAAAAATGTATCTGTTTTGGTGGCTTTTGCATTCATCTGGATGATTTTATATATGGGATTTTATTTTTCAAAAAATACCTTGTGGAATAAACAAACAGCTTTGCTCTTATGAAATTACAAAAGGACAAATTAATTGTAAGTGGATGGGTGCAGATTCATGTTAGATGAAGCTTCTCAATTGTGAAATTACTAGCAAACTATTTCTGTTGTGCAGTGAAAAACAGGAAGTTGTGATTGGACAAGGTCAGAATGTCACACAGGGGCTTCTCTGATTCAGATTTCGATACAGATATATATATATGTGTGTGTGTGTATACAAGACCTCCATTTACCTGATGATTTTATAACTGCCACCACCAAGGCAATGCATTTTTGAATATGTCTGTACTTCCTTCCTCACACCTTGAAGCCCTCGTTGTGACATGAAATTTGATTTTGTGAATGCGCCAAATGCATCCAAATGACCAATTTTGATGTAAGGTGATTTTTGGTTGTTTGTTTCTTTGGGTGGGTTTTTTGAATTCTTCAAACAAAAAAGTTTAGAAGGCATAATCTTTTTTTTCCCCACTTCTTTCGCTTTGTTTCTTTCCGTAAAGGCCTCAGCGTGGGAAACATGTTTTATGTCTTTTCTGATGATGGAATCACAATTATTCAGCCAAATGAATGTGAGATCCGAAGACACATCAAACCCAATGAAAGAATTTTTACAAGCTATGTAAGTTACTGAAATAAGGTATCCAAATCATCAGTCAGCTTATACTTGTACAGAGGATCAAGTCAGGAAAGGAAAATTATATTGGATGTGTCCAGGTGAGAGTGAGGAAGGAGGCATTTGTGGGGGTATACAGAGGTTGCAGGCACCTTAGCTTCAGAATTGCAGGGTGCCTTGGGTCTGGTTTGGCAGTACAGAGCATGTCAAGGAGACATTTCAGCCTATGCAAAGTGAACTACCAAATTCAGAATGGGGGCAAAAAAGCACCCAGCTGAGGGCTCCCTGTTTGTGGAAGAGCAAATGCAGACATGCTATACCTGGCTTTTATCCCCATTTACTACAGTTCACAGGAGATGGGGAGGTCTGGGCAGCAGAATAGCGAGGGATTGCAGCACCACTGTGTTCTGATTGCTAGCAGCTAGCAGAGGACCACCCTTTGCTGCCAGCTCCCCAACAGCTGAACCCAATATACTAATAGCTTAAAATCAGAGATTCACAACTAGCAACTTCATAACACCCAGTCAAACATGTACCAGCAGATCCTGGGCACAGCTGAAATCTATGGGAACTACATGTTATAATCCTGACAGAATATTATTAATGTGCGGCACAGCTTTTGCTTAATTTGCTCAAATCCATGCAAGATTTTCACCTCTAGTTTCTCTGTTCAGATCTTTTGGTGAGTAACAACCAAAAGTATTGATAGCTCGTTTGGATCACAAAAAATTTAGTTGATTATCTAGTTCTTAGCAGATGTTTCTAGACATCACTCTTAATGAACAATCCTATGCAATGTAACTGAACTTTTACTGATGGTGAGGTCAGGGGGCTAAAACTAGCCGAGTCAAGGTGGGACGGGTAGGAAGAACACAAATCACCTTAGCCGTAAAACTAAGCCACTAAACGCAGAGAACACGATCAGCCTACCCTTCATTTTAAGTTTTTTGAGAGGGTGCAGAGGAGAGCCACATGCATGATCAGAGGTCAGGAAAACAGACCTTATGACGAGAGGCTGAGAGCCATGGGGCTATTCAGCCTGGAAAAGCGCAGGCTCAGGGGAGATCTGGTGGCCACCTATAAACTTGTCAGGGGTGCTCATCAGGATCTGGGGGAACAACTGTTCACCAGAGCCCCCCAAGGGATGACAAGATCAAATGGTCACAGAGCCAAGTCAGCAAAGCCTATGTCCCCAGCCCTGCCTCCTGCCAGGTGTCAGGCCCAGCCAGGACCGAGGCGGGGGGCAGGGGGTGAACAGGGATGAACAGGATGCCCCCTTCCCCCAGAGCTAGCAGTTGTGGGGCTCTGGTCCCTGGAGAGGGCACGGGGCAGCCATGGGCAATTCCAGGGCAGGAACAGGGGCCACAACTTGGGGAGCCAGGAGAGCCCCCTGCCCAGCCCCACCTACTGCTTGAGCACCGGCTGCTGCTGGCTGGGCTGGGGGCTCCATCACCAGCCTGATCTCATTAGCAGCCTTGCCAGCTCCCCTCCCCTCCCCTCAGCAGTGGCGGCACCTGGGGTCAGAGCAAAGCAATGGTGCAAAGGACAAAACCCCGGTGGCTGCCCACCTGCCACCGACTCTAGACAGCTGCTCACCCCCTCCCGCCCTGCTCCCAGGGATACTGGGGGATCCCAGCTCCCTTCAGTCTGTGGCAGCTGCTTGGAGAGTTGTGAGACAATGCCCTGATCTGGGGAGCGTGCAATGAGTGTGCAGAAGTGTGTGTGTGTCAGAGCCTTTCCTGGGGTCTTTTGCCAGCCCCTGACACTGGAGTGCAGCTCTTCCCCCTGGACCCGCCTGGCTGGGTACAGCTGTGGATTCACCTTTGTCTCTGCCAACCCTCCACAACCCTTCCCCTCTGTGCTGTCATGGCACTGCGTGCTGGAGGGGCAGGGGAGGGGCAGCTGCCAGCTCAGCCCAGCAAACTGTTGAACAGGGGCCTGCTGCCTCCCCGATCTTGGTGCTAGACTCATCCCCTGCCAGGCACCACAACTGCAAGTGCAAATGCATGGCTGCCCCCTCAGGGACCAGAATCGGGGTTCAGTCACAGGAACTTGGTGCTGACTCCAGGGGGTGGGGAACCCTCCAAGCCCTTCCTGGAGCCGCTCCAGTGCATGGGTCCCGGGGCTTGGACAGAACGGGGGAAGGGGAGAGACACTCCGTGCCCTACCAACCTGGGCCAGCAGTGCAGGGTGCACCACTGGCATGGCTTCCCCCCAGCAGCTCGCGAGCCCTACTGCCCCTGCCTCTGTCCTGCTGGCAACCCTGTGCCCCAACCCCAGACAAATCCCAGGGACCTCTATGCCGCTGTGAGCAGGGGCAGCCCATGGAGCCCGACCAGGCTGCAGGGCAAACCTGCCTCCCTCCACCGGCTGTCTGTAGTTGACAGCTGCCTGTGACTGACTGTTGACGCAGTAGCGGTGGCAGGCATACTCACCAAGCAGCCCGCTGGGGTGGCCTGGTTGCTTGGCTGCATCCGGAAACATGGGGGGAGTGCTGAGAGGTGTGTAGGATGCCTCCAAAGTGCTGGCCTTGGCCAATGCAGGCAGCCTCTTATGTTTGCCCCACTCCCCCAAGGGCAAACGTGTTGTGTTCACTCCCAATCTAACCTTGGGCACTTAGAGTAAACCATGTAACGTATTGATTCCGCCTCAGGCTTTCTGAATGTTCCTAGACCTAAGTACTACTTAGATGCTTAATAACAAGCCTAATGATTAGGAACTTCTGCCATTCACAAAACTCTGTCTAGAGACCTGGGGTCAGATTCTAATTCACCTTCATGGATCTAATCTGCAGTTTGTGGCACTCACAAACTGTTGGGATTCAGAGTAGCAACCTTTCCTGTGTGCTCAGTAGGCTGCTCTCTGGCTGCCTGAACACCTGGTTCAGACAGAGTTGCACAGACATACACAATACTGGGTAAATCCTGAAATTTAGTTGCAGAAAATCATGACTAGTGACTGAGTGCTAGATGTAACAGGATGGTATCCCTCCCACCATCTAGCCTAGTGCTTGCTGAAGCCACAAGAGATCTAGGTGCTAGGCCCCGTGTGACCCATATGGGTCTTGAAGATGTATCTACTTCTTAGCAAAGTGCTCCAATCACCAGGTCACAGGTGCACCATTCCCCAAAGAGTTCTCCAGCTCTCTTGAACCCAACCCACATGGCACTCAGGAAGGAAGTGTCTGCGGGGCCAAAAGGAGGCAGAGAAGTAAGGGACTGAAAAAGACAATGAGAATGACTCACAGGCCACGGACAGACTTTTCATCTGCGGTATTAAAAGTGCCATAAAAATGTAGAACTATAGACATAGAGAGACAAGGCCAGCCACACTGGCTGGAGTGCTACAAAGCCATCCTAAAGGCATGCAGGGGTTTCGGGTTATTCAGTCCTACAATCACTGGGAGCCTGCATGCTCCTGTACTGTGCGGAAAGGGAAACAGGTAGCAGTCCCCCAGTGAGCTCACCAACAAGCTGTGAGCATGCTGCAAATCCCCAGCTTGGGAGGTGGCTGGCTGTCAGTAAGTGCACTGCAGCCTTTGGGGGCCTGTGACCCACTCTTCCTCCCCCACCGTGGGGGAGCAGATGGACTGTCAGTGATCACCAGGTGGCAGTCCTCAGTCCTGGTATTTGAAAGATGGGCCTGCTTGCTTGACTCCTGGAAAGAACTTGAATCACAAGCAGAAGTAGGCACCTCCCTGTCATTTGGGTTAGACACATAGGCCATTTGTAGATGTTAGTTTTTCTAAATTTAATCCAGACTACAGTGGTCACTACATACGCGTGGATGCCTGTAGTTCAAATTAAAATTAACTCCGGGCCAAATGAACGAATCCTCACTGAATGCAGATTAAAATTAATGCAGACTAGGGCTGTCCGAACTAGGCAATTTAAACTGTATTAATTAACATACATATAAACACAGCATTGCTTTTAGAAAAAACGGTCCCTAGGAATTCAGCAGATAAGCATTGTGAACATCAACCCCCACAAGGGAAACTAAGTTGGGTTTTTGCAACACAACAGAGGCTATCAGGCACAAAGTAACACCTTTACAAAAGCAAATGTGCCAACAATAGTTCAGAGTGACTAAGTAGCAGTATCCTGACTAAGCCCCCAGCCCTACCCAAGCACAGGAGCTACTGGTCTGTGGAGGAGTGGGGAAGCCCTCTTTGGCCCCCTTCCCCCACAACATGTTGCCTGAGATAGTCATCAACACTCAGAGCAATTACACTCATTACAGCTGCTGGAACAGCATTTTAGATAACTGCAGTAGGTTTGCAACAATATAGCAATGCTTAAAAAGGTTTATTCACCTCCTAATTACTTCCAATCCCAAGGGCTAGGCACATAAACCCACACAGAGGCTGAGAATTGGGACTGTTAATGGGCTGATGGTCAGTGATCATCTATTAGCCCTGAATTCAAATTGAAATTTGATTTGAACAGGGTGATGTGAATCAGTTAACACAGTTTAGAAAATAGCGAGCAGGTCTACAAATGACCTTACTTAACTCCTTTAGAGGGGTGGGACCTAACCAAGCATTGTGAGAGTCAGTCCCACTTTGTGAACCAAGCTCTTTGTGCTCAATAAGTTGTTGTTTTTTTAAGTAAGTCTTGAAAACTCTGTGGTTAACAGCCTTTACTTCACTGGAGGATTTTAATATGTCTTCTTATAAACCCAGACTCTGATCCTCACCCAGGAGGTTATCCCTCAGCATGGACATATTATTAAACCTTATTACAGCTGTTACAACTCAAAAGCAGACCTCTGTGATTCTTTTCTGAAGAACTGTATGTGTTGAAAAAGTAGCCCAGAAAATGCACCCTGAAAAGAACCCAAGAACCAAAGGAAAAAGAGAGTTTTAAAAAAATGTCAAACAGTTCTTAGAGCTTTTGTAAGTACAACTAAAAGCAAGCAGGACTAGACTATAGCTGGGTGCAAAATTGTGGCAGGTCCTTATGCAGAACTCACTGAACTTGGAGAACAAGTCTTCAAAACTTAAACCTAGTCTACACACAAATTCTGGACTGTTGTAACTATATGAGTTGCAGCTGTAATGGTTTAACTGTAATTGGTATACTGAACCCCTTGCATCAATGCATTATATTGATAATAATGTGCTTATAGCAGTATAACTTATTCCCCTGGTAATACAGAAATAAACTATAGCACTATAACTAAATGGTTTATATTCTATAGTTAGAACAATATACGTTTTCTGTGTTTACAAGGCCCTGTGAAACAAAGTAGCTGGAAAGGAAGGGAAGGAATTAAATAGGCAGTCAGCAGGTATGAATTTTTCCAAGTTCACTTGTGACCCTACAAATACAAGGTATTATTAAGTATTCGCTGAAGTTAATTGAAGGTTTGATGTGGAATTCAATGGGTGTAGGGTCAGGCCCACAATTACTTACAATTTAAAAATACAAGGAGAACGTCAAAAAGCCTACTTTGTAATGCTGTTGCCCTGTGCCTCCCACCCAAAGCTCCTGTCCCCCAGCCCTGCTCATGACCCTTGCCCCCCACCCAAAGCCCCTGCCCCCCAGCCCTGGTTCTGCAGCTATCAGCAGCTACCCAGAGCTGGGGCTGGCTGCAGCTGGGAGGCTATAAACAGCTGCTGCCCTCCTGTCCTGACCCCAGGCCCGGACTCCGAGAAAGCAGCAGGTGCTGGCACTGTGCCGGTTGAGGCCAGGGCTGGGGAGGCAGCAGCTGTTTGTAGCCTCCCAGCTGTAGCCGGCCCTGGCTCTGGATAGCTGCTGATAGCCATGGAGCCTGGGCTGCTCCCAGCAGGGCTT